TTACTGTAGTTCTAGACTAAATGTCAACATGCATTTACTCATCTCACTGACACAAAAACAGATTCAGTATTCTTCAAAATGAATAAACCAGTAAAAATGCAAACTGAAAATATGACGCAAACCTACATTTATTATGTTAAATAACACAAATATTCTTTATGTATTTAATCCCATTTTATTAACCAATGTCTTTGCTACTGACCTTGATCCAATTGATCCAATGATCCAATTCAACCATACAAATAAGCAAAAATGACTTTAGATAAACATAACATTTGTGTGTGTGTTTTTAAAAATTTTTTTTATTGCTGATCGAAGAGTGTTGAGCTTTCTTTACTTCAGCCAGAGGCTTATTCATTTCACTTTTGGTGTTAAGGGGCTTTTACATTTGCCAAAAATAAAACTTTTTATATTAAAAACAAACAATCAAGCCCAGCCCAGATTGAAAAAGTAATGCAAAAGTAACGTAATGCATTACTTTCCATAAAAAGGAACTAAGTAAAGTAACTAGTTACTTTTTTTTAGGGAGTAACGCAATATTGTAATGCATTACTTTTAAAAGTAACTTTCCCCAACACTGAACACGATTCTGAATTAAGAGGCCCATTTTGTCAAAAGGCAGACAGAGTCATAGTTTGATATTTTACTCTACAATTTTGACCTAATAGTTTCATTGTGTCTTGCTACAGGAGAGGACTTGAAAGTTTTGGCTGAATTTCAGAACAATTCTTCTCGTGCAATCAAACCAAAATACTGCTTGTATGAAAAACACAGTTTTTTTGCAAGAGGAAAGAGGAAACTTCACACACAATACCTGCTTAAAGAGGAAGGGGAATTCATTGAGCCAAACTCAAAGAAAACTGTCACCAAAGTGCTGTCCATTCCACCCAGCCTTGCCATATCTATTCTAAACTGTAGGATCCTCAAGGTTGAGTACAGACTCAGGGTGAGTTTTAGCATCTAAAGCATATACATTAGAATGGCATATCTCTGTGTTCTATTTTTAATTTAAAGTTGGATCATGACATGTTAACTGCATTTTAAATTAAGGGATGTGCTGACTGTTTATCTCAAACAGAGATGGGTTTCTGTTGTCATTACCTGCTCCTAATTTAAATAATTTGTTTTTCAATATCTGTGCTTCATATCTAGGTCTACCTGGATGTGCCATATGCCTCAGATCCAGAGATTAAATTCCCAGTTGTGATTCTTCCTCCTCAGCCTGTCTCAGGGGCTACAAACAGTGACTTTGGAATCTGGAATCAACCACCAGGAAGCAATATGTACCCCAACCCACCTCCTATGGCTCCACTTGCCCCACCACTTAATGTGGTTGGACCATCTGGTCAGTTTGGTGCCCCTGGCTACTATGGACCACCTCTGAATCAGTTTCCTGCTCCTGGTTACCCTGGACCTCCGGGTCAGTTTGCTCCACCTAGTTACCCTGGACCTCTGGGTCAGTTTGCTCCACCTAGTTACACTGGACCTCCTGGTCAATTTGGTCCTTCAGTTTCACATCAGTCTGACCCATCAGCTCCACCTCTTTATCAGGAATATCAATTATATCCACAGTTGCCAGACCACCCTGAAAAATCTTGACAAAGTGATTTTAGAATCAGCTTCTAGGCTTCTTTTTTATTACTGTTCTATCTAGATTCTTCGAATCATTTGTATTAATATGTAGCATTTTATATTTTAGGTAGTGATGTTGACTGTTAATAAGCTAACAACATTCTATACTATTTGTTTTTGTATTTCTAGACCTTCGGTATAGTGCTACATTTTACGTCCCATGAAAATTAAAGTTCTGCTTTATATGTTGTTAAGTAGAGTATTGTATATTTATTTATTTATTTTAAATGTTGTTTTAACTTAAAGTATAAGCGTTTGTGCTGCTTTACAATTGTACATTTATTCAACTTGAAATGTTAAACTGTACTAAGTGACAACATGGATATTTGAGTTGACTAAACTTAAAATTAAGGCAGCACGAACATATACACACACACACACACACACACACACATATATATATACACAGTATATATTTTAAGTTGAAACAACAGTTTTTATAGTGTAGATTTACCATCAGTTTCTGCATAAATTGTTACAAAAGTTACAGATTTACCATGAATTACATTGTTACAAATGAAGTTACAATATAGACCAACAAGTCTGCTTAACACACAGCTATCTTTGAACACACTGTGACACTATTGTTCGACTGAATAATGTATTTTATGTATTTCTGTTTATGAATGAAATTATATTTATGAATAAAACTGAATTTACTCACATATATTATAGACTCACATATTATCATGTTAACAGGTGGAAAACAGTAGATTGAGTAGTTTATTATTAGTTAAAATTTAGATATAGATTTTTAAAAGCTACTTTTTAAAGCTCCTCTATATAACTTTTTGTAAAAAAAATAAAAAATAAAAAATAAAAAAAAATCTGCATGCGTCTTGTGAAAGAACGTTTTAGGTTTTTTTCATCCCTGCACCGGTGTACACATGCAAGTAATAAAAAAAAGTTATTTGAACAGGTGACATTTTATGCTGTTGTTTTGAATTACTGGAAACATTGTCAAATATTTGTCAATTGAAAAACATTTTCAAAATGACGTAAGAAAAGTTTACAAGCCGTTAACATGAGACATAACAATTGATAGGCTGATAATGTCAAATGTTATAATAAAGTCATACTGTTACCAAGAGCTACATGGCTGTCTGTCAGTTCATTAAAATACACCTTAATAAGAAAATAAAAATCCATCTCTAGCTTGCTTTTCTTGCCACCTCTGAAAAGCTAAGCCCCATGGAGAGCTACATGGCTGTGTCAGTTCATTAAAATACACCTTAATAAGAAAATAAAAATCCATCTCTAGCTTGCTTTTCTTGCCACCTCTGAAAAGCTAAGCCCCATGCTGATTCAGGTTTTCTTACAGATTCTGTCACTTTCCCCTTTGCTTGTGGATGCTGCTCTTTTTGATTGTTTTTACAACCACCCTGCTGAAAAAACAACCAAAATCAGCCTAAGCTGGTTGGCTGGTATTAGCTGGTCTTCCAGCCTGGTCATAGCTGGTTTAAGAGGTGTTTTGACTACTTCTTTAGCTTAAGCCAGCTATGTCCAGCTTAAACCAGCTAAAACCAGCCAACCATGGTGGTTTCAGTTTTATTTTATTTTATTACATATATTTTTTTTTAGCAGGGATTCCCTAGAGGTTGCCATTTTGCATGACCCATTGATGCTAGTTGTGACATCTAACTTTCAGCTTCATGCTACTCCCACACCATATACTCCAGAGTTTCAGGAGTTTCCATCTTTTTTCTTCTTGTTGATGACTGTCCACTCTGTGGAGCATTACTAGCACCATCAGCACTTTTACATATATCGCCTGACTGTATTGTTGTTTGCTTAGAACCTCAAATTGTTAGAGATTTGGCATCACCTTGTCCTGTGTGTTCAGCTCATTTGTTTTCTGCTCATATCCCCACATTTCAGACCCAAGCAGTTTTTAACCCTGTTCAGAAGTTTAAAATTAATTTAGAATGCACACAGTTTGATATGTAAATTTGTTACTTGTTCAAAGAAAAATATTTACAGCCATCTTTTACCATCATATGTAAATCAGGATGCACACTATTGAATTAAAGTTGAATCTGTTAACACATTCATTTTTAAAACACACAGCATTCCATCTCAGGTTCAAAGGGTGTGTCTTGTTACTGGTTCCTAAACAAACATGTAGATGTTGGTTTTATTTACAGAACTATAAAACAACACATGATATTAAAATGTAAACAAATACATCAATTAATTTCCTATAAATGTACTCTTCTATCTCAATTTCTAAGGGTGTGTCTTGATACTTGTTCCTAAAAGAACATTAAAATGTTGATATTATTCACATAACTATACCGCCCCCCAGAGGAAGATACTGCAGTTGTTTTGACTGAGTTTGAAATTCAAACCTTTAAATGGGTCATATGATGCGATTTCAATTTTTCCTTTCTCTTTGAAGTGTTACAAGATTTGAGGGATTTATATAATTTATAATATAAAGGGATTTATATAATTTATAAATATTATTATAAATTATAATTATATATTATGCCATGTTTATCCAAATAAAACCGATAAAAATATGCAACCCACTTTATTCTTAAAATAGGTTAAAGGCAGAGTGAGTGATTTCTGGTAGCCAATGTTGATATTTGAAGGGAACTTTCTACATGTAGCCTAGCCTACATACAGGCACTAACCTGTTGAATGGAAAGCGTTTCTGGACGTTACATGTCAAATTCACACTTTCTATCTGAGAAATAGGCCAATTCTAATCCGCTTCCTCTGTGATAATCACCGCGCAAGAAAGCGGCCTTGACGGCTCTGTTTTCAACTCCTCCCCCTACTACAAAAGGCAAATTTCGCTGGTTAAGTCCAGGCAGAAGCCGAAGCCGAAGTCGAACGCACCTTTCGAATTATGCCATCTTGTTTTATAGCCTTGCTGCTTGCGCACGGCACACAGCCTCCAACTACCAGAATGTCCCACCTACAGATGGAAGTCCACATAGCGCGCAGCAAGCGCGTGCCTATAAAGTGATTTCATTGAGTTCAAACGTCAAAAGCGGATATCGGCACCTAGCGACAAGATGTCCCTCACTGTGAAAAACATTTCTGTTATTTACAATCCTACCAATCAGAGCAATACCTTCACCAGCGGGGATTTTATATCGGGACAAGTCATTCTGGATGTAGCGAAGGACACACAAATGCAGTCGTTGAGTGTGAAAATTAAAGGTAAAGCGGAGGTGTGCTGGACAGAACGTCATGGTCAAACAACTGTTGTTTACTCGGATAAGGAGAAGTATTATTCCGTGGAGAGGTTTTTCGTTATGGAGGACAAAACACATGGTAGGAGGAACTACAGCTGTACATTTTTGTGTTAGACATCAGGTCGATTCAACAAGCATGTTTTGTGAATCTTGTACTAGGTAATGACCATGAGATGCTGAACGATCCCTCCGGACAGCCGTGTAAGTCTGTTCTCAAGTTACATGAATATTGCAAGAAGAGTTATGAAAATTAATCTGAAACACATAATCTTTGCTTTCATCTATGATTTATTAGATTCTTTGGTTGTTGCACCAGGGCGTCACGTTTACCCATTCACCTTTCAGTTGCCTCAACAGTAAGTTACACAACTCTTCGCTTTTCATTAAGTGTGACTTTGGATCTGTAAAACGTGTATGTGGATAAGTGAATAAGAATGTCTGAGATCATAAAATGTACTTTAAAACGTGTGCAATTTGGGGAAAAGGGGGTTATCTTCAAGTTTGACACTGCTCATACTTTACCCAGGGTTAACAATTAATCCTGGGTAGGCTATTCACAAGGTGACGTTTCACAGGTTTTCTTTCGTAAACCTCGGTTTAACATTATACATAATTTGCATATTTGCTCTATCAGTGTCCTTGACGCATCATGCGTTTGCCAATATTGAGATTTCCAGAATGAAGTTTTCGGACTATAAAGGCAAGAATGAAAGGACCTCTTCTTTACTCCAATTTGACACCCACGCTGAAACCGCTATTATAAGTGTTTCTGTACTGTTCTGAACGCGACTGACTATAAATATGTGGTAATATTTTAAAGTGATACACTTATGAAGGTCTAAAGGTGTTCTCTCTGTTTAATGGTTTTCCTGTCATGGCATCCTGCATGCTCGTTACCTCACTTTGATTTAGCAGACAAAATGTTTTCAAATAATAATGACATTTAAAAAAAAGTAAAAAATATATATTAATAAAATATAATTAATAAATTAAGAGACTAGAGTTTAGTGACTAGACAACAGAGACAACATTTATTCCACCCCCATCATTTGGATACACAAGATCCTGAAACTGCATAGAAAAGCAAATTTTTAATGTGTTTGTAGCAAAATGCAGCAAAATGTTGATAAGATTGTAAACATCTATGCGGGGAGCAGTGGCTGGATTTTTTTTTTCTGGCATAACTTTACTTTCTGTAAACAATTTTTTGGGTAAGCAAAGGTTTTTTTTCAACCCACACAATTTTGTTTGGAACATACACTTTTTAAGAAAGATTATTTCAACCTACACAGTTACAGCATTGTCACTAGAGTTTACATTATGAACTTTCAATTGCTATGTGTAATAGGACTGTAAACTAAGAGGCCTATTTTTTTTTGTCAAAACGGCAGTTAAGGTTGCATTTTCTAGTGATATTTTATCGTGTAATTTACCTAATTAAGTGTATGTCTCTCCACAGGAGAGGGCTTGAAAGTTTGGGCTGAAGTTCAGAACAATACGTCCCGTTCAATCAAGCCAAAATACTGCTTGTATGAAAAACACAGTTTTTTTGCAAAAGGCAAGAGAAGACTTCACACACATAACCTTCTAAAAGAGGAAGGGGAACCCATTGAGCCAAACTCAAAGAAAACTGTCACCAAAGTGCTGTCCATTCCACCCAGCCTTGCCATATCTATCCTAAACTGTAGGATCCTCACGGTTGAGTACAGACTCAGGGTGAGTTTTAACATCTAAACCAACTCATTGCAGTGAAGTGAGCACATAAATCAGAATGGCATAGCGGTGTGTCTGTTTTTATTTTAAAGGTGTATTTTAACATGTTAACCATTTTGCAAATTAAGGGCTGTGATTGAAAATCTCTAACAGAGTTTCTGTTACTGAATATTTTATATCAATGCTACAGTATAATCCCTACTTTTAAAGTTAATGTTTTTGTTTTATTTGCCTGAAAATTGTTTATGCTGACCTAAAAAACCATTAAAATGCACACATTTTAAATGCATAAAAATAATTATTTGGACATCTTTACAAATTTACAGTACAGTCCTAACTGAATCATCTATATTTCAATATGTTTGCATTGTGTCTAGGTCTACCTGGATGTACCGTATGCCTCGGATCCAGAGATTAAATTCCCAGTTGTGATTCTTCCTCCTCAGCCTGTGTCAGGTGCCAAAAACAGTGACTTTGGAATCTGGAATCAACCACCAGGAAGCAATATGCACCCCAACCCACCTCATATGGCTCCACTTGCCCCACCACTTAATGTGGTTGGACCACCTGGTCAGTTTGGAGCTCCTGGTTACCCTGGTTCTCCTCGTGTTCAATTAGGAGCATCTGGTTACCCTGGTCCTCCTCATGTTCAATTAGGAGCATCTGGTTACCCTGGTCCTCCTCTTGGTCAGTTTGGTGCACCTGGTTTCCCTGGACCTGCTGGTCAGTTTGGTCCAAATTCTCATCGGTCTGACCCATCAGCTCCACCTCCATATCAGGAATATCAATTATATCCACAGTTGCCAGACCACCCTGAAAAATCTTGATAAAATGGTTTTAAAATCACCTTCTTCGCTTCTTTTATCATTAGATAGTCTGAACTTTTTATGTAAAGATTTGCAAGAATGAATCATATTAACATGTAGCCTATTTTCTAGAAAGTAATGTTGAATTTAATATGCTGAAACATTATCACAGTTGAAGACTGGATACAATTTTAAGTCAGAACAATAGTTAAACAGTCTATTAAATAACGCACAATGATGTTTTTATATCTTTATTGAGCACACTTACTCTAGAATCAAACAATATACCGATACATGCTTTATTATTTTTCTAATGTGACTGAATAAGTAAAACATGTACATATATTTGTAATTTCCGTTTAATACAAATGTATGTATTTTTCCACTGATGAGTTTTTAACAATACCCTAAGTTTAATTTGTGACATGACCCAAATCAATCAACTGAGGACAGTTTTATATACTGCCAGAGATTTTATAATTAGGTTAATTTGACATGTAATACAGTTTCAAAATGATGTCAAAATGGAGTTTAGAAAACCCTTCTACCCCCAAAGCCCTTTGACTGCTAACTGTTGGTATATCGTTTTATTATGTTTGCTCAAGTACTGGCTGTCAAGGTCACACATTTCCCACCCATACTGAGAGATTACCATTATGCGAAAAGGCTTTGAGTCACACAATATTTGACATTTGAGACACATTTAGTGAACAGCAAAAGTCTGAGGATAACCATGAGAGTGTTGAGAACCAGGTAAGCGTTTATCCAGAAATCCTTTACCAGGAAAGACATGCTATGTTATACTAGTGACAGGGCAGTTAACAGATGGCAATAGCCACGAATGTTGCCTTAAGCACCCACTAAAGCCTTTTATTGTATAATATACTCACAGGGCCTTAGGTGGCCCACTCATAGAAACTGCTCCCTGGGCCCTGTGAATTTGAGCCAAACGTTGTAGTCTAAAGATGGCCCGCAATACAAGACTATGAAGTGTACTATGAGGAAACAATCTTCAGCTTACAAAATTGGCCAAGACAGCTTTTGAATTTGGAACAAATCATCTGATGTTCGTTGACATATGGTTACTAAGTTTCACTATATTTATCCATTTAAATAAAAACTCTTATTTTAGTCAATTTTAGTAATCTCACAGCATTATGGTTGATTATTTTCTTTTTCTGGAAAGCATCGGACAAATAGTATCGAACTACTTTCAATTCAAATTAAAGGGTACCGCCCCAGTGACAGCTTTTGTACCTTTTTTTTCTGAGTGTATGTGTGCAGCAGAACAGTGATGTAACAACTAAAGGTAAATTCCAATAATAATTGAAATAGTGGCATATGACCCACTGGCTTATTCCCTGTTTTCTGTACACACCTTTGTCTCATTATCACTCCCACACTTTTATTTAAAATAATATCCAGGCGCCCACAGAGCAGACAGTGTTGACAGCAATATTTGTACTCTAAACTATACAGTTTATTAATTTTTAAATACGAAAGTAAATAGCCTACAATGTAGCTTCATTTTCAGCATCAAAACATTTCTTCAGTAAACAATTCAAAGACAACATGTCTAAATCTATCAACTACATACCGAACTAAAAAGTATTTGGCAAGTCAATATAGTGCAAGGGACCATAGAATGGAAAACCAAGCATTGCAAAATGAAGTGTTGTGTCAACCCTGTCACATCTCTCTCTCTCTCTTTATCTCTCTGCTAATAATAATAATATGATGCTAAGGATGCTAATAGTGCATCAGTTTCTACTCAGAAAACAACTTTCTCACCATTTAGCTGAATAAGATTTACATGGAATTTACTTTTCCAGAAAATTATGATATTAACTAAAAACTCAATACTAATCTTTTAATATGAAGAGATCTCTGTTGCTGATCCATAATTACGATTGACTCACTTTCATGTGAATTATTATTATTAGTTATTTTTTATTTATTTAAAATTCCCTTAGATGCCTCAGGAAGAGTATTAAAACAGGGCTTTGCTTTCAAGTCATTACAGTCCAACACTGATGTATTATCAGCATTTGACATGCCAACAAGATGTCAACCTGAGACATGCATTAACACTACTGTATACTGTATAGTGTATAGTGTAATATATATATTTGAGACAGACTGTATATACAGTATACTATACTACATATACAGTATGTATATAGAATGGAATATTCTGGACTAAATACAACTTTAGTATATTATGTTTTTTTTATATAATTGTAACTATAGGAAAATATATTAATTTAGAACGTAATCTGAGTTAAATTGGATGTGCAGTGTATGCTACACATAGAGGCATGACTCCCCCTGCAGGGCATCAAGAAAAACACAACAAGATGATGTCAGCTCCAAAATCCTTCATGAACCTTGCTTCTTACTATTTCTGTACTGTATATTGCAGTAGTGGTTGGCTGTACAGATTAAAAGATTTAACTGTCACTTCTCCCAATCCAGAATGATGGTGTGTTTAGGCCAGCTAAATCACCAAACATTCATATAACCTAGATGACAGCCCATCCAAGATGGCAGCATGTATCCTTGACAGTTTATTTTAAGTGTTTGTGCCATTGCTTACATTGATTTTACTTGGATTTGACAACTTGGATTTAAGGGATTTTATATCAGTGCCGTTCAACACCTACTGGAACATTTTACCTGGTAAGGCCTGTTTTGTTTTTACAAGAGTCTTTGAGGCATGTCTTGACTCTCTCATAGGCTTTTCAGTCAAGGTGCATGTATTGACTTTAGTTTGAGATTTGAGTTTTTTTTTTGAATAGTGGTGTTTCAGCACGCAGACTTTTAAGACTGTGTTGTTTATTCAGTCTAACTATTTATCTTGTGCTACATTTGAACTTTCTGACAATGTGACAATTGATCATAGCTCTGCCTGATAGTTTTTATGTGCTGTGGAAATATTGGATATGTATTAGGAAGAGATATGATTTGGTTTGTCAACTCAGTTGGATCCATTATGTTGTCAGAATGCTGGGTAGTGTACAGACTGTTGATTATGGTTATATATTATTGACTATAAACTATTTCCTAGAAACATTCAGCCTAATCCAGGCACGGAATCTCTTTTACAGTGCATTACATTGATAGGCCTGGGAATTATGTATTGAATGTGTGTTACTTCTTGTTTATATATACAGTCATGTGAAAAAGTTAGGACACCCTAATTTTTTACTTTTAGTTAATTTTTTACTGATTTTGTTTTGTCATTTCATGTTGTATGAGACCAATTCTTTCATAAATCCTAACGGATGCTTGGTTGTATTTAGGCTGCAGTTTGGATTAGAGCAGATTTAGGAATTTCACTAGTTGCAGAGGTCTTCTTATTTTCCAAGGTCTTTAAAATGTTGTATGATTCTTCATTTCAGTTTTCTTAGAATTATGATACGTGATCAGCATGTGCTGTCCTATTTGCTATCTCACTTTGTAATCTTTTTTTTTTTTTTTTTAGAACCCTGTCATGTCTACTGTACAACTGACACCCTTTTTTTTCTCTCTCGTGCTTAAGTTATTTTACTATGATGCTGAGTTGTGTTTGCTATCACTAGTGTCATTGTTTGCTAAAGCTCATCGACTCTTCTATGATATACAACTAATTGAACTGGACGTTATGCAAATATTAATCCACACCTGTATAACCTAGCCCACTTCAATTTTGTCAGACAAAATGATTGAAATATTGCAGAAAAGGTTTACAGAAAATATAAATTCAAAATCTACAGTATTTAGTATGAGTAAAATAATTTTTAAATGACAAGAACTGGCAATGTCAGGTTTGGTGAAGGTAGAACTGCTGTTGAGCCCAGTTTGATTGCTAATCCTGCAGGGGCCATTTGAGGCAGGATAGATTCTCCTATATTTGACTTGATCTAGTATTTATTTATTAATTTTTTTGTAAAAGAACTACATCACCAAAATCAAAATCATTTTGGTGAGGTTTCTTCATTTATTGACTATATTTAATAAATAGTCAGCAGCTTTTTAAGTCAATCTATATATCTAGTACTTAAGAAGGCCTGACATATTTCTTTAGCAGAACTAATGTATACCAAGTGAGAAAATGTCCTATTTCAAACACTTTAACAACAGGAATACACAATACATAATATTAAGTTAAAAAAGCTAGGCTATTTGAATTATAATTAATTCAAATAATTAGCTTTGAATGAATATCTACATGTGAAAACCTAGTTTTAATCTATAGATTGCTTGTTACTTACTAAGTATTCTCAGTAGTATGTTTTTATATTCATGCATATTCAACATTCATATTGTTCATCCTGATGAACAGATTTGTATTCTCTCAACAAGCCTACTGAGTAATGCGAAGTGGAATTCCATGCATGCTTTGCCAAACATAATTTGGCTGCTAAGTTTGTTTCTATACACAAATATTGGCAAAAGTTCTGTGTATACTACTTATTGCTTGCAAATATTTAAATTACTGTAAAATGACTGTGTCCATATACAGTGGACAGAAAATCTGAGACCACATTGAAAATCTGGGATTTTGCCCCTGAAATGTGAACAGTTTTTGGAAAAAAAAAATTAAAAAAAATGCATGAATGGATATAAATACTCCAAATGAACATTAGGTTATAATAAAAGGAGAATTCCATTTTAATTGTTGCTTGCATTTGGAACATTCTCAAATCATGCTGGATCATTGCAAACCTAGAAAATGGCAAAATGTGGACCCATGTACATGTACTGTACAGATAATATCAAACCATTTAGAGGTGTTTAAATGTTACGTAATTATTTGACCCAACAGAGAAATAGTCTTAAAGCAAATTTTGAAGTAATATTGAACAAACTGTCTAAAGTTTCATTACTGTATGTTCAAACTCTGCCATCTACTGGTTGACTTTGGGCATTTCTGAAGATTGTTTTAAGCAGTTGCTTACTTAATTATGTAAGTTAATATATATATATATATATATATATATATACAGTGGGTACG